GTGTGTATATATATATATATATATATATATATATATATATATATATATATATATGTATTTTATTTCGGTCTGTGCAGCTTAACCCACAAACATCATAATACTAATAGAGATTTTGTAGACACATTCCACTATACATCTTTGGAGGCATTTTCATGACCTTAAATGATAAAAAGTCACAAAATTGGAGAAAAACATGATAGGTTAGTTAACCAGTATTTCCAACAACTCAAAAAAATGAAATGTGTCAAAGTGATCTGCAACATAATATAAGGTTTAAGCTTAAAAAATGACACAAGCACCATAAAAATAGTCCATATGACTTGTAAAGCCATACTATAACTTTGTGTGAGGTGCAGACTGAGATGTAAGTTATTCACTGAAAATACAGCAGAATACAAGATTTCAGTCATTAGCTACTTATAAAAAGGCTCATACACATTTCAACACTGTACCATGTGCACGGTATTTTTGAATCCGACTGAGAAAATAGATGGATTCATGCATTTAAATGCTTAATTTTTTCTTCTTGATCATATTATTTCAGGGCTACACCACCTCTTTCATGCCAATCGAAATTCAATTTAAATCAAGCTCAATAAGAGCTCAATTGTGGCGTTTACATCAAGGCCTTTTAGTTCATTTGAGACATCAGTCCAATTATGGATTATTAATGGATTATTAGTGTGCATGTAAACATAGCTACCGTGGTATATCTCGGAATATACCACACAAGCTATGTTGATGTTGTTTTCATTTTTGGAGATTGACAGCCCCAGTCCCCTTTCTCTTTCATTATATTGAAAAGAGTTGCCTGGGATTCTGGAGAATATCTCTGTTTATATTCCTCAGGAAAAAAAAGAGTGTCTAATTTTCATTGTCCTTTAAGAACTTTTCCTTGTCTTGCAACATGTGCATCTTCAGTAAATCTCATTGGTGCACGGCGGTGGTGATGGCAGTGTTGAACTGTGTGTGCAGTTTTGCAGGAGGCAGTGAGCACTGGAGACCCTGAGCTTGTGCAGCTGGTCCTTCAGTACAGAGACTTCAGAAGAGCCACAGAGAGACTGGCTGGTATTCCTGAGCTGCTGAGCAAACTGAGACAGGTGATCCATATGTATACATACACCCTGACTGAAGATGCATTTGATATGCATCCATAAGACTTTTTTTATAAACCTATCAGGTACAGTATTGGTTTGATTTGCCATCCTCTTTCAGAAGGCATCCTAACATGTCGTCTTTCTTGCAGGCACAGGATTTC